GGGTATTTTGGAGTCCTTGATTGGCCCAAAGGATTAACATGCTTGACTGCTATCCAAAGGTTGGCGGTTCGAGTTCACTCAGAGGTGCCTTGGAGGAAAGGCCTTGTGATCTATGTGTGAAAAATCAGCCGTTGAAAAACTTATGGAGCACGATTCTGCTCTGAGACACATGGGGTCACCATGAATTGGAATCGATTCAAGGGCAACTGGTTTGGTTGGTAGTGGGTATTTTAGTGTCATACAGTCACAGGTATAAAAAGAGGTGGTGCTGAAAGGTCCCTGTTAGTTTATGGGGACACGAGAAAGACATTCCGGGAATATTCGGCCTGCATTAATTATTTCCACATATAGTTGATTTGGCAAGGAACCATGGTGATGCAATGGTTAAGCACTTGGCTGCTCACCGAAAGGTTGGTGGTTTGAACCCACCCAGTGGCTGTGTGGAAGAAAGACCACGTGATCTGCTCCCATAACGATTACAGCCTAGAAAACTTATGGGGGCTATTCTGCTCTGTCGCATGGGGCTGCTGTGAATAAAAATGAACTCGATTTCACCTAACAACCACAACAATAGTTTATTTGGAGCCTGTAGCTACAACAGGAATTTTAATTTATTTTTAACCACATTGCTTTTCAAAATCTGGCCTTGTCATGTGTAATAGGGAACAAATTCCAAAATTATAAGAATTTGATCCTCAAGCCTAATTACATACCACCCAAAACTGCTCCTTTCCAGGTGCGTCCAGTCAACAGCAACATAGGGTTCATCTGGAGCTCTTGGGAACCGGGAGGTACACCTACAACTACACTTACACCATACGCCTCATGACAGCATGACAGGGCAGACACCTGGAATATAATTAATATTTAACATTGTTAAAGTGGGTTCTTTGATAATCTCCACTCATGACTCACAGTAAGAGTTCAATATAATATCTGCTTAGATTGATTGTGAATGTGTAGAGGAAAGAGATAATATCTTTTACTTCTTCATTCCTTGTTGTGTATG